CCGTGTGTGTGTGTGTGTGTGTGTGTGTGTGTGTGTGTGTGTGTGTGTGTGTGTGTATGTAGAATCAATGTATGGTAAGGCAATAATGGAGCCAAGCCCATTTTGGAAAAATGACTCCACTGTTCAAATAAGTGATATAAGTGATGGCTCATTATTCAGAGTAGCATTTGAGTGTTTGAGTCTATCTTCATAGAAAGTGTGGATTGGTGTTACGCTTTAGATCTAAAATGTCCCCCAAAAACCTCAAGCTCAGAGCTGGAGCTTTTGAAAGGTGGTTGGATTGTAGGGGTACTGAATGTACTGTTAGGGGCCTGACTGCAAGAGGTGGGTCACTGGGGATGTGACCTGGAAGGGTGTGTTTTTGTCTGGCTCCTCCCTTGTCTCTCTGCTTCTTGGCTGCTCTGGGTTGAGCAGTGTTTCTCTGCCATCCCTTTCCACCATGATATTTCCACCCTGGAGCGAGCCAACTATGAGCCAAAATAAACTTTTCCTCTTTTACATTGTGGGTGTCGAGTATTTTGCCCCAGCAATGAGAAGGTGACTAATAGAGTTGGGAATATTTGCCCTTAAATAAATTGTCATGGTTTCCAGACCTTGTGCCAGGCCCTGAGGAATCTGGCTTGCCCTAGGAATCAGATGAAGTCGCCAGAATCATGCCTCTCTTTGCTGTATCCACTTGGATTAGGATTGACTGTGAATGACAGAAAAACTCAGACCATTTGTTTATATCAGATTAAAGCGTATTTCTGTCATTCATTACCAAAGGGTGGATATAAGAAATTCAGGGCTGGCGTGTAATTTCACAGTCCTTAAGGACACAGTTCTTTATGTGTGACTTTTCTGGTCTCATCATGGACTTCTACTTCATTGCCTAAGATCATTGCCTGAGTTCCATCTCTCAGGGCCACCACTCATTAGGAGGAGAGGGAAAGAAAGGCATCACTCTTCATAAAATTCCTCTTTACTCTGAACAACTAGCAAAATTATCCTAAGCTGAATTCAGAAGTTTGACGGTAAAAGGATGATAGGATATATGAACTGCATCTGCAGTGCCTTAGGAGACAGAGGTAGAATTATAGACACTATTTATTTGCTGTCCTCTGCCTGTGGTGTTCTGAACCCTGGGGTGAGATCAAGACCTTTTTTTGGTGAGGGCAGTGCTGGGGGTAGAACCCAAAGTCTTGCACATGTTAGGCAGGTGTTCAGCCACTGAACTACATGCTTGGCCCTGAGATTGGTATTTTTAAATAAAAATTTTTAGAATGGAAACTGAAACATATTTTGAAGTACAGAGGGTAATATAGTGAGCCTTCACCTACACACTGCCTAGCCCAGCTGTTCTCAACTTGTAGCCAGTGCTGTGGCATCTGTTTCCGTGCCTACTCTCCCTACTCCTACATTGACTTGACTGGAAGCATATTTGTCATGCAATCGTGTCTGTAACATTTCAGTATGTAATTCTAAAAGGCAGGGCTTCCCTCTTTTAAATGTAAGCACAACACCATCATCATAACCTGAAAAGTCAACAGAAATTCCTTAGTATCATCAAATAGTCAGTGTTCATAGTTTCCCAGGTCAGTGGTAGTGTTTGGAATTGACATCACTGCCTTACCTCAGTAAACCATATTTTAATTTTTTTCTTTCTTCTTTTTTAGTGGTGCTAGAGATTGAATCTGAGGCCGTGCACATTCTAAGCACGTACTGTACCACTGAGCTACATCTCCAGCCCCTCAATTTCTTTATTTTTGAAGCAATCTAGGGGTTCAAAGGGAAGAGGAGTTTGGATAGAGGGGAAATACCAGGCTTCCCAAGAGGATCTAATCCCATACTCCCTATTGCTTCTTCTCTGTACAGTGCCACCTGTGTGACAAGTCATTCATGAATGCCACCTTTCTCCAAAGCCACATCCGGCGCAGGCACACAGGCATGGCAGAAGGTGGTGAGTCCAGGCAGCATCTGGGGACCCTGCTGGGACTGTAGAAAGGTCTGGGGCTTGGGCAGTGGGCAGGGGGCACTATACAAATGTGTACCCAAGCCTTCCCTCATCATCTAATTGAGGATGGAGCAAGCCCATCATGCACCAAGGGACAGGGGATCCCAGAAGGGGCTGGATAACTTTTGAACACTTGTGTGGGTAAGAGAACAGGTAGGTTCCAGTCTTAGCTTTGTCTGTTTCCATGCTTAGTGTTTTGTTTCTGAATTTCTGTGGCTTTTATTGTGAATGGGACAGTCAGATGGAGAGACTTTGAGGGGCCCGTACCTCCCACCCTTTTGTGAATCTGCAATTCTCTGCATGTAGCTATGGATAAGTTTAAATGGGGTAAATGAGCAGTCAGACCAGTTCTTTGGCTTTTCTATGTACCTGAACTTATCATAACTTAGTAAATTTGTTTAATCTTATCATTTCAAATTCTAGCACGAGTAGCAAGGTTGTATGTTGTTCCCACAAAGAGATTTTTATACTGGATATCTACATTTTGAGAGTCAACAGAAAAATCTGTAAAAAAAAAAAAGTATAAAAAGTTTAAACAAACCTTTTTTTTTTCTATTTTCCATTGTTTCAATTTCCTTTTCAAAAAAGAGTTTTGAAACAGTATCATTTATCTAGTTACTGTACATTTACTATATATCTAATTTTTGTTTATTCTGCACTCTGGAAGGTTAAGGCAGGAGGATCACAAGTTTAAGCCCAGCCTGGGCAACTTAGCCACTTACTGAGATTCTGACAGAGTAAAGAAAAGGGTTGGGGATGTAGTTTAGTACAAAGGCCCTGGATTCAAACCCTACCAAAAAAAATTTTTTTTAAAGATTAAAGTATACACCTAAAATAACTTTGGTTAGAATGTTTCTTCCATGTCCCTATTTTTTCATTTGAAACTTAACACTGTACATGTAAATCGTACCACATTATTTTGAAGAGTGACTTGAAAGGTACAACTATTTACATTACTTAAGTTCCTTTCACTTGCCGTGCTGTGAAAGTATGTTCTTTGCATTAATGGTTGGCATATACACACTTGTTTAGTATTCAGTTTCTATTACTCTAGAATTTTGCATTTCTCTGTGTCAGTACTGTCAAAATACTTATTTTAAATGACAGGACAATAATAGTTTACATTTATTGAGCTGTCATGCCAGGTGCTGTGCTGATCACTTTGTATTATCACATTTCATCCTCACAAAACCCCTCTGAGTTGGGTACTGTTATGATTTCCATTTTGCAGTTTTGGGAAGAAGGAACAGGGAGGTAAGTCCTTTACCCAACGTCACCAGACTGCATGGCGAGGCTGGTCTCAGACTGAGGTGTGACTGCAGAAACGAGAAAGAAACTACACTCCATTGATTTTCTCTCTCTCTCTTGCCACTGCCCCCAGGAAAGCAGAAGCAGCAGGAACAGCCATCTGAGGAGCTACTGGAGGAGCTGAGAGCCAAGCTGAAGTGGACCCAAGGGGAGCTGGAAGCCCAGAGGGAGGCCGAGAGGCGGCATCAGCTGCAGGTGGGTGTGGACAACATACTTCTGTGGCACTGCAAACAAGAGGAACTTAAATAATGAAAATATCAGAGAGACTCAGGGCCACCTAGATCTCCCAAGCACATGGATCCCACAGGGCTTGAATTCTAGCTAGTTTCCCAGAGCTGGGAGCCGGGGCCAGAATGCCACCTTCTTGGATGTAGCAAATGATTTTAGGGAGTCTGGAAGGAAAATAAATACCAGACCAATGTGACCAAAAATGGAGCAGAGGAGTGCAGCTTCCTGTGTAAGTCAGCTCTTGCTGAAGGGATTTGAATTTGAATTCAACTTCTTGTACTGCATATTTGGTTGGCTTTTTGAGGACAGAGAATGGGTGTCATTCTGAAAGCTCCAGAACCCAGCCTGGAGGAAATGTCCAGTAAACGTTTGTAGGAGGAAAATACATGAATTTGCTCTTTCCCTCATCTATCCACCATTCTTCATCTCAGCATGCGTCTGTGAGCATCAGCTGTGCCAGGCATGGTGAGGAATAAGGAAAGAGAAGACAAGGGACTGTAAGATTTAGATAAGTGGACCACTCAGAAGCCAAGCAATTGGGACTGTGGGGTAAATGTTTTTTAGTCTCCATAGTGACATGCACAACAGGGGGCCATAACAGATTTTTCAGCAAATATTTACTATAATGTGGAATTAATAATTCTATTGTTCTTGCCTTTTTTTTTTTAAGGAAGCTGAGATTACTCGTCAGAGGGAAATAGAAGTGAAGAAAGAATTTGATGAATGGAAAGAAAAAGAGCGGACCAAGCTTTATGGAGAGATAGATAAGCTTAAGCAATTACTTTGGGATGAATTTAAAACTGTTGCCAACCAGAACTCTACACTAGCAGAGGTGCTCAATATAAAAAGCATTTCAAAGTTTTTCTTTCTGTTGAAAATCTGCTTCTTATTTGTTCTCTTTTTCATTTTCTTTTTTCTGGTACTGGGAATTGAACTCATGACCTTGAGCTTTCCAGGCAGGCGCGGTGCCACTGAACTAAATCCCTGACCCTTTATTTGTTCTCAAAATTCATTTATTAGTCTGCACTAGTTATATTTCATCTGTCATTGGAGCTAAGACACCGTGAAGTCAGATACCAGAGGCCAGAGCCAGAGGGAGGCTCACAGTGCTCTCTTGTTTCGTGGCTTTGAGACCTTGGGTGAGCTGCTTAACCTTCTTGTGCCTCAGTTTCTTTCCTGTAAGATGGGCTGCTGGAAGATTTAATTAGCACATATACAGCATTTAACATTATCATGTATATAGTAAGAACACCTGAGATATTAACTTTATTTTGCCCAGAGTTTCATTATTGCACAAGAAATGAGGCAAAATTTTAATGAATGCATTTTTCCTGAATATATGAATATTCACATTCTCTGAAAACTGTGTATCTGAAAGCTGTGTGTCCAATTTTCTGTTGAGGTCCATGGGGGTCTCTGGAGGTCACATATAATAGCTAACATTTGCTATTTTCCAGCTTCTTTATAATAAGTTTTAATCTTATAATAAGCAAACAGCCATAACATTCTGGGAGCAGGTGCATCAATTTATTACTTTCCTTTTAATTAAAAAAAAATATCTATTACATCCTTTCTTTATAGTTGATGAAATTGAGACCACATAATTTGCTAGTAAGAGCTGGCATTTGAACCTAGCTCTTCAAATTCTAAAGCCCAGATTTTCTACCAAATTTATGTAGGGAGATTTTATTAAAGTTATCTTTGGATTATATCTTCCCTTGTAAGCCTTATCAAGAGAAAAGTTTTGAGGAAAAGTATATTCTTAAAATGTATGTATCTTTTGCTGGTCTTCCTAACATCAAGGGGAGTCTTGGCTTTGCAATTAACTGTCCAGTGGTGTTTCTTACAATCAAGCCATGTTTTGCCTAAAGAAACATAGAGACACCTTTTCAAAATGGGATTATAATAGGATATTCCTGGAAGCAGAGAGGAGCTGGAGAGGGAGGTAAACCCTTCAAGTCAGGACCCCAGTGACCTGCTTCTTCCAATTGGACTCCTCCTTCTCACAGTAAGTCAGCTGTAAGCCCTATAATTAAGTCAACTTCCAAAAGCCCTAAGAGCACAGGAGACTTTTGGGCAACATCTAGATATCAGTGATAGCATAATCCACACCATCCCAACCTAAATTCTCCCCCACGGATCAGGGATGACCTGTGGAAGACAAGCTGTTGCTCCATCGTATGGATGTCAGTGCCTGACACCTAACTACACACTGTCATTCGCAGGTTCATCCAGAAGTCACCTAGTTCCCTACATGTCCCCTGACATGATGCTGGCTGAGTAGATATTTGAAAAATCAGTACTGATTGGAATTTGAAGTTAGGGTTCTTTTGGGGATCTACTGGGGATTGAACTTGGGACCTTATGCTTGCAAGGCAGGTGGTGGAACCACTGGCTGGAATTTGAAGTTATTGTTGAAAAACCACCTTATCAAGAGTCAAAGAGTGACTTTTGGTTAGAAGATGCTGAGGTTTGGTAAATGAGGACATACTCTTTACCAGTCATGGTTTCCTTTCCTAAACTGGAGCATTTGATTCTTTTATTATTAATTTTTTGGGATTTCTCCTACAGGATTGCTTAGGTTGTGGTTTTTGTGTTTCACACCTGCCTCCTCTTAACATTTTATTATTTTACTTTTATCAAAGTAAAGAAACAAAATTGGGTACAAAATCATCAGTGTCATTTAGTTACATAATTTTGTTAATTCATTTAAAAAAATTTTGGGGTGGGGAAGACAGGTAGGATTCCATTTAGAACAATTATGAAAAGTACTGTAAGAGAGTCCATCTTCAAAACTTAGGAAAATATTCTCCTTGATTTTAGGAGAGCCAATGAGGATGAAATACATTTTGGAAATATTTATCCTCAGAACTTTCCACCTGATACAGAAGTGTGAGACCTTACTTTGGTGAAGTAGCTTGACTGAAGAGAGAACTTTATATTAGATAGGGGTAAACTGAGCTTCCAAAGGAGTCTAATTGAAATGCAAATACCTTGAAAGTTTGTAATCCCGAGAAAACCAGCTCTGTGTTGTGTCATAGCAGTGTAGAAACCAGAAGTGGCAGACACATTAGAAACCCTGAGTTGTGTATATGTTTGGTAAAGCATTTGATTATGAAAATATTTAAAGAGTTTAGAAGTGAATAACATTGGCAGTATCACTTAAGTGTGACTGAGAAGAGTTAGCAAAACTAATGCCAACTCAAACTCAGGGGCGTGTAGTTTCTCTTTCCTGTATTGGGGGTTGGACCTGGGTCTTCACACTGAGCTATACCCCCAGCTCTTTTTTTTTTTTTTGAGACAGGGCTTTAGTAAGCCATTAAGTTGCCTAGGCTGAGCTTGAGCTTGCAGTTTCCTGCTTCAGCCTCCCAGATTGCTGGAATTACATGTGTGTGTTACCATACCGGGGTGCAGTTTCTTCAAGTTGTAATAGGGCTTATGAATTTTATGTAGTGATAATGATTTTATATAGTAAATTTTGTATAATAAATTTTATATAATAATGGGTATGGGTATATATTGTTTTTGTTACTGCAATAGTGACACACACACACACACACACACACACACACATATATGCACACACACACACACACACACATACCATAGAAAGGTGGAAAGGCATCTACTCTTTGGTCTTTTTTTTTTCTTTTTTGGTACCAGGATTTGGACTCAGGTCCTTGGGCTTGTGAGGCAGGCAGCAGAACCACTGAGCTAAATACCCAGACCTCTTTGGTCTATTTTTTTTGTGTCTTTCCTTCTTTTGTGTCTTTCCTTCAGGTCACATACTGCTAATAGCTCAGGAATTATCAAGAATTATGTTGTAGGTCTGAGCTGTGCAAAGCCAGTCCTTACTGGTGACAGCCAGGATATTTTTGTGAGAAAGGGGCAGGAGTCCTCAGGGAGTGGGCTCATGTGCCTTAGGGTCTCTAAGCATCTGGTTCTCTACAGCTTATTCTGGACTGAGGAAGACATGAGGCAGCAGTTGGAGGAATTTGGCGTTTTGAGCATAGCAGAATTTAAATGGAATTGAAAGGACAGTCTTATTCTGTTGTTTTGTGGCAAGTTGTTTCACTTTTGCAAGAGCTGAACCCTCAGGAGAACCCTGGGAATGTTGGTTTGTGTGATTATTTGCAAGTGCATAGGTTTAGCAAGAATAAGTAGGGGGTTGTGGTTGAGGTAAGGTGTGCTCCTCTGAGGCTGTTTTCAGGTAAGGTATCAAAGTCAACATCAGGCCTAGATCTTCATCTAAATAAAAAGATGCCTGGCCTTTTCAGAAACTGCAGGCTCTGCAGTCCCACAGTGTGGTGGAATCCCACCTCGGATCACTGCAGGATGAGGAGTCTGAGGAGCGACTCAGGCAGGCACAAGAGCTCCAGTCCCTGAAAGAGAAGATGGAGATTCAGGTGAGTGGATGCTCCATGATATTCTTCCCAGAGCAAGCCAAGGACCTTGTTATCCCCGGCAAGGCCTGTCATTTTTGCTCTGTGGATTTAGTAAAGTTGAAAGACATCGAAACTCTACATTTGCAGACTTTTGTGCCCCATGAAAGCATAGAATAAGATTCTCAGGTGAGGCTGGTGTAAAATATCCAATTTTCCTGAGATATTTTCTAAAATATATACAAACACATTAATTTTTTTTTTTTTTTTTTTTTTTTTTTTTTTTTTTTTTTTTTTTTTTTTGTACCAGGGATCCAACTCAGGCCCTTGTGAGGCAGACAGCCGAACCACTGAGCCAAATCCCCAGCCCCACATACTAATTTTTTTTATATGACACTTTTGTACCCATTTCATTCTAACCCAGTTGGAAACCATTCAGGAAGTGTGACAGTGTCCTGGGGTTGAAGATATTTGGGATGGGTTCAGAGGTAAACGTTTGTTTAGTAATCAGCTCTGGGAGCCAACAAGCTCTGATTTGTAGCATGTTCTGGTTTCTGTGCTGTAAATACTTCCACGTGGCACTTTCTGTGCCATCAGTGTGAGGTCACTGGATGAAGCTGGGAAAACTTGTGCACAGTATGCTTTCATGGGGTTTGCCCTTGTTTTCTGTGAAAGCTTTTTACAATCTTGGCCTCTTATTCCATTATTTATGTTTTCCCTCCCAGTTTATGAGTTTGTATAATGGTATCCTCAGTTTCTTATTGGTCCTTCAATTTTGATTATTGTGATTTGGCCATAAAAAGCAATGTTTATGTGCTCAAGATGATCAAATTATCAGTCTTTTATGTGTGTCTGTGTGTGTGTGTGTGTGTGTGTGTGTGTGTGTGTGTGTGTGTGTGTGTGGTGCTGGGAATCAAACCCAGGGCCTTCTGCATGCTGGGGAAGTGCTGTATTGCTGAGTTGCATTCCCAGTCTCCTCACCCTTTTTTATAAATGGCTTTTCTCCAAGATTTAAGGAACTATATATTTGTGCGTTTTCTTTTGGTGCTTTTATGTCCTTACTTTTCATGCTTAAGTCTTTGACCCACCTAGAATTTACTTTGGTTTAAGATAGGAGGTGAGGGGGCCCGGGATTTAGCTTAGTGGTGCCGCCACCTGCCTCCTAAGTGTAAGGTACTGAGTTTGATCCCTGGTACTCCCCCACAAAAAAGATAAGAGGTAAGGATCCAGTTCATACTTTTTTGTAGGCAGCTGGCTACTTGTTCAAACACCTTTAGTCAGTCATCTGTCTCCATTCCCTCAGTTGAATTTCCATCTTCTTCCATCCTTGCCTGGGCTTTCTATTCTGTCCCAGTAGTCTGTCTGCCCAATCACGAGCCATTACTTCTTAATTTCTGTAGCTTTATAATACATATTAATATCTAGAGGGGTCCACTTAAAGCTCTTAATCTTTTTCAGAAAACAGAGTGGAAGAGAAAATTGAAGGAGCTGCAGGAAGAGCGTGTGACAGAGAGGAGAGAGGTAGCTCTACTATGATTCCTGTCTCTTCTATCCTTGCTAGACATGATTGTCAAATATTTTGTTGCTGATCCTGTGCCTGGATGCTGGCCCCCATCAGTGCACAGGAGGGAACAGCTTTCTGACCAGCAGTTTCGTTGGCCAGAAGCAGGGCCCTCCAGCCTTGTCTCTTGAACCCAAAACACCTTTTATTCAGTGCTGCCTCCTTCAGGCCCACTTGTGCTTTAAGCCTCAGATGAGTCATCTGGTGGTTTCATGTTTGAGCTCTTTGAAAACTCACTCCAGAAAGTGCCAGGTGGCATGGACCTCACTGATGTCCCAGGGAGCAGCAAGCACCTGGCAAAGAAAACTCTTCCATACAAATGCCCCTGATGAGGAGACAAGTTGAGGAGAAAACCAGGTACAAGAGCTCCTTGACCTGCCTGTGAAAGCTCAGAAGATGACAAGAGCTTGACACATGGCGATACTTGTTCCCTGTTCTGTTATCCTGATGCACAATTCCCAAGTGATGGCTTTATTTCATTTGAAACATGGGAAATACATTCAAATTTGTTCCAAAAGTGGAGGAAATGTAATAAGGTGCACTGAGTCAAGTCACCCCCGCCCGGCCCTACTCCCACCTGTCTTACCACTTCCCATACAGGCGATGACGTGTGTTCCCTTCTCGTGTATTCTTCTAGAGTTTTTTAATGCAAATGTTAAAAAACAGCCTTATTTTATATCTGCTCTTATATCAGAGGTAGCATGTGAACACATTTTCTTTTCGTTTTTACCCTAAGACATACATCTGTTAAGTTTTGAATGATCTCAGCCTACCTCGGTGGGTAGCCACGTTTGGCAAAGCCTTTTCTCTCCAGATCGTAGGGGCCTGATTCTATCCTTACTTCTTCTCAGGCCCAATTCAAAAATCTTCCCAAATAGGAAAGCAGTTAGTCTTGTTAGAAAGCTTGCTGCCCAGGCCTAGAAACCCCCTACTCTGCCCCAAGTGGAACCCTGCAGAGGTCTGGCAGACTTGCCTGACTGCTGTCCCATGCCCACCAGCTACAGGAGGAGAACGAGAGACTCCAGGCCTCCCTGTCTCAGGATCAGAGGAAGGCAGCCACCCAGTACCAGCACCAGATCGATGCCCTCCGTGCTCAACTGCGGGAGCAAGCCAGGCTCATTGCCTCCCAGGAGGAGAAGGTAGGTCTCTCCTCTGACCAGCCAGCTACTACTGCCTGAAGGACTCTTCTCTGTGAGGATCGCTTTGGATTCTTGTGGGCCCAGTGGTCCTAGTTTCATTAGGCTCTGAAAGGGAGGGAAGAGTCCTCAGCCGGAGGGACACAAAGTGAGGAAGGTGTAGATGTCTCCTTCTGGAAGAAGTGCTGTTTTCCTTAGGGGCAGCTGAGAGGTTCACTCTAAAGACAGAGACCATGTAAGAGGTCTGGCCTCTGGTTGATACTTTGTTCATTAGCTCATTTAAGCCTCACTCCTGTCCTTTGGTGTAGCCAATGCTTTTCCTTATCTTCATTTGATGGGATAATGAACAAGCTGGAGAAATTCAGTGCATCTGCACTCGGGTAGTAACAAAACCGAACATGATACCAGTGACAGAGGTGAGATTCAATCCAAGCCAATGGACAGTTTGTGCTCTTTATACTGTGTTCTCAGACTTGATTTCTTAACTGACCTCTTTTGCATAAATGAATAGCCTGAGGTGAGGTTGTTAGATAAACCAGCATGGTGAAAAGTTGCTTACTCAATGAATACCTCCCTCCTAGAATTGGCCCCTGTGACTCCTCATTTATTCTTGATTATTCTCATCCCATCCTCAGCTCAGCAGTTCCTTGCCCCACCGCATGAGCTTTTACAGGTTTGTGGGAAAGCTCTTCCCCTTCTGGGGCCTCCTGGGGCCTTGCCATTATTCTAACACTACCAGTGGGCCAGCCTCCACACTGCTCCTCTGGTCTGCAGAGTCATTGTCTACTTCAGTCTTCCTGACCCTGCACTCCTTGATAGTTGTGCTTTTCTGTTCTGCCATCCTGATTCGCTCAGTCAAGTATATCCACTGCCTCTACCCACTTCTCCCTTTCCCCTCCGGAACATGTAGCTTTACACTGCTATGGCCACTTCAGGTCTAGTCTGGAGGATTCCTTCTTACATTTCTTCAAACTCTTTTCTGCAATTGTTTCAGTTAGGAACCCATGGGCTAAAGACAACAAAATAAATTAATACCAGGAAAAGAGGTGACAGTTGCTAACTGTGGTTAGCACCAAAATTAGGCCCCTGGGATCCAGACTCTGTTGATTTTTGTTCTGATGCTCAACTGTCACAGTTACAAGATAGCGTCCATGACCCAACCTTCACAATCATATTTGATGGAAGAAATTAATGAAACGGGCCCTTTCTAAGACTTCTGCCAATAAATTATTGGTCAAATCTCTGCCAGTTGGGAAGCTATAACTTCAAGGAAGACTAGGAAAGTGAAAATTGACTATACTCTCTAGAACAGAGGTAGGCAAGGGAGAAAACCTTTTGGAATGGATGTTGGATGGGTCATACATCAGTATATGATACAGTGGGTAATAACAAAACCCGACTCTAGCTGAAGCAGAAGAGGGAAAATGCTGTAACATAAGACAGAACATCTCACAGAGCTCAAGGCTAGGGATGCAACTGAATCTGGGCATAAACTGGGACCAGAAACATGAGCAAGGTAAGTTTTCCTCTTTGGTGTGTCTCTGTTCCTTTCTCTATATCCGCTTCAGTTTTATTCCGAAGATCAGCTCCTGCTTCTTACTGGTTTCATGTGGCAAAACAAACAAACCAAGAAAACCAAAAACCACTGGCTTCCAGCAGCTCCTGACTCATTATCAGTCTACAGCTCTGCACTCAAACCTGGACAGTCAGCTATGGCTGTGGTGTGAGGTCACATGGGTCAGAAGTGGTTGCCCAGTCTTCAGCCATGTGGAAGGAGGGAGGAAGGGGAGCTTCTTTGATGCCTACATCACGCCTCCTACCATGTAGCTGGTCTACTCAGCTCAGGTGCCACATCATGGAGGTAGCCTCTACCTTGCTCTGGCTGTTTTCTGTCAACCAGACCAATAATACTAACTGTGTGCTGTCCCCCTTTGCTTCCCTGGGGCTCCTGCCGCAAAGCTATGGGCCTTCTTTGAAGAGAGGTCATTCTTGTCTCATTTGGGGAAAGGGAGCAGACTGCCATCCTGGATTGTAGCTATTCCAATGTGGCTCCATCTCATTTCGCATATAGACTTTAGGAGATGTTTGAGGGGCTGAGATGGTGTAGCCCAGCTCTTTCCAGTTCCTAATGGTGGCATGGCAACAGTGGCCATCCCTTCTTCACCGTGCTGGGCAGACCTACTGCTCAGAACAGAATACTGCAATGTTCTCTGCTGGCTGTAACCTGCTCTGTTCCACCTCTTGCAGATCCAGACCCTGTCTCTCAGGAAGGCAGAACGTAAGTCCATCGTGGGTGGCAGTCTTGGCTGTTGTCTTGGGCTGTTTTCTCTCCCCTATCCCAGTCAGTTTATAAGTGGAGGATTGGTAACGGCAGCCCATGGGATATGTGGTGTTGGGTGAGGGAGGGAGGTGCTGGGACAGCATTTGTGCCGACGGCTGGCCAACAGCCGGCAGGGGTTCTTGCCTGGTTTACGCTTATTTTCATAGGATAGGAGTTGGGGGAGGTGTGAGGATTTTGAGGGTGTCGATGGATGGAATAGGGTTCATGAACAGGCTTTCTAAATCACCGTGCCTGCTGCAGGCCTCAGGGTTGACTGGAACAGTACCACTAGTAACACTGTGTTCCATGCACTTTGTCAGATTTCTTGGCTTATTATATTACCCCCACTATTTAGTGTGGAATGTACATTGTTATCTCATTTTCTGGAAGAGGAAACAGGCTTAGAGAGATCTGAGGAGTTACCATTTCAGGCAGAGCTGGTGAGGGCAGAGCTGACTTGAGTTGTGAGAACAGATCTTTCTGCCTCCAGTGCCTGTGGTTGTGGCCACTGCTCCATCCTGCCTCCCTGAAAAAGATGAACCTATCAGAGCACAACCTTTTCCTGGTCAATATTGACCTGGGGTCCTGCACATTTCTCTAAGTCAAGGACGGAGTTCAGGGTAGTGTCTCCACTAACTGTTTCTGATCTTTTCAGGGATCCAAGAGATGCCAAATTCTGTGGACACAGAGGAGGACTCTCCTGAGGAAGGTGAACTTTTTTTTTCCCCCTGGGTGCCCAGTATAGAAAAGAGATTTGCTGCTGTCTTCATGGGTTAGTTGGTCCTTACTTAATGGTATCCAGACCTCTGAAGCTGGGGTGGAGGGAGCTAAGGATATGAAATAAGTATTTCTTAAGTTCCTGTATGTGCCAGGTTTGCTACATGCAGGTATTAACATGCAGTCTTCTGGTTCACTGGTAGAGAAACTTAGGCTCAGAGAGGGTCAGTAAGTTGCCCAGAGTCACAAAGCTGGCAGATGGCAAAGCTAAGACCTGATTGAAGCCCTGCCCTTCGTATCTGCCCTGTTGCCTCTCACCAATACAGTCCGAAGCAGAGGAGAACTTGCTACACTGACCAAAGTGGCCTTTTTGTTTCTTTCCACATCATGAGTGTGCTTCAGACAGATCACGCAGGATGTAACTAAGGTGCAGGAGTCTGCCATGGCTCGTCAGAGCAATGAGTACCTGTTGTCTTCATTCACCTGATGAAATGAATTCTGATTTGCAGAGTTCTCAGCCAGCTCTCGGAGGTGATACAGAAGACAAATACAAAAGATAGACATCTCCCTGACCTTTAGGAGCTCCCAGCATAATGAGAGAGAGAGGAAGCTCCCAAGAGAGATGAGGGAATGCTCTCCTGACCAGGGTCTGCTAACTCCAGGAAGGCTGTGATAGGACAATCCCCAAGTTATCTGTCACCAGAGAGGTCATCATGGGTTATTTTAGCTTTTGAGCTGTTTTTGTTGTTGTTGTTGTTTTGTTTTTTAGTACTGGGGATCAAACTCTGGTCCTTGCGCTTGTGAGGCAGGTGCCAGAGCCACTGAGCTAAATCCCTGTCTGTTTTAGCTTTTGATATACTGTTTTCTTTATTTTTTAATTTTTGGGATGGTAATGCCTATGTATTTGGCAAAGACAATAAGAAAGAAAGGAAAGAAGAAGTAGTACCAAAGGATGTCTAATGAGAAGTAACTTTCCCTGCTGCCTGGCTAACCAGTTTCCTTGCCAGAGCTTCTGTTGTGAATGGTTTCTCATGTAACCTTCCAGGAATACTGTGAAAATACAAGCATATAAGTGTATCCAGTGTCTTCCTTTTTCCCAAATAGAAATACAGATGTAAATTGCTTTGCAGATGCTTATATTCTTAACAACTTCCTTGGGGAAACATTCCATGTTTCTTTGTGTAGAATTGCTTTCTCCTCCTCCTCATCATCATTTGTACTGAAGATAGAGCCCAGAGCCTTCACATTAAGCTACATCCCTAGCCCTTCTAAAATTTTAAAATTTTGAGTCAGTGTCTTGCTAAGTTACCCAGTCTGGGCTTGAACTTGTGATCCTCCTTCCTCAGCCTCGCAGAGGGCTGGGCTTGTAGACACGTGCCACTGTGCCTAGCTTGCTTCATTACTTTTTCAGGGCTTTGCAGTATTCCATTGGATGATTGGATGGATGAACCAAAATTTATTTCACCACTTTTCCTCCCTTCACTCAGTGCATTTAACCATGAGATACAGTCATAAAAATTCAAATTATACAACAGCTTTGGGAAAAGTTAGGCCTTCAAATGGGAAGAAGCAAATCCTCAAAGTTGTAGGGAAGAGTAAGCTGAGATGGATGAGTCTGAGAGGGCTGTTTCACTTGCTCATCACAGCATGCTGTGTTTCTTCTGATGCTTGTCTGTGCCTTCCTGTCCCACACCAACAGGCAGCAGCATGACTTGGGAGCTTGTTAGAGATGCAGATTTGCAAATCCTCAGGCCCCATCCCGGATAAATAGTGTTTAAGGGCAGGACTCATCAGTCTATGTTTTTATACCTTCCAAGGCATTCTGATCCTTGCTTAGGTTTAAAAACCACAGTGGCTCTTTACAACTGCTTGCATGTCAAGAATCACTCAGGAAGCTTGTAACTAGCTAGAGGACCATGCTACACCCCTGCACTACCTGAAACAGGGCATGCAGGCCAGGGGGCGGTTTCCAGGAATCAGTAGCAGCTACAGCTCCCAAAGTGGTGGCAGTGCTCTGGTTGAGTGCATGCCACAGTGCAGTACAAACTTTACTGAGCAGAATCACCTGGGAGGGGTAGGGTGTGGGAGGTGTGGGGGCTTCTTCCAACGTAGATTGATGGCCCCACTGGAATGGGAGCTGCTTATCCGCATATCTCACAAGATACTGCATGACGTTTGTTAGCTTGTCCAGGGAGTTTTTACAACAAAATATCAAGGGTTGGAACCCACCCTCAGAAAATCTTATGTAATTAGAGTTTGGGGTCATTTCAGTGTGCAGTCAGGGTTAATTTACCACCCCAGTTGTGAGCTTTCTGGGGGAAGAGAATTCCATTTCTTCTGTATCTCCAGCATCTAGCTCTGGCCTGTTCACACTTGTGCTTCCTGCTCAGTAACTGACTGTTGAGTGAATGAAAGGACTTGGTTCAGCCTGACCACAGGTCTTCCACATACACTGAGGAGAACTCCTGAGACACTTCCCTGACTCAGTCTGGGCTGTCCCTTTATAGCAGTTGGCACGTTTTACCGTAATTGCTCATTTTGTTACCTGGTAGGTTGATATTTCTTAAACTGTGGTCTGTGGTTCATTTTCATTAGAATCATCTGGGCATGTGAAAAGGCATATTCTAGGGCCTGTCCCCAGACCTGTAGGAGCAGACACTGGGGGAGGGCAGGGCATCAGGTGGAGGCTAGGATTAGGCTGGAGGGCCTGGAATCTGGGACCAGAATGGGATCCAGGGAACAAGCTGTTTTCAGGGCTCAAATGCAAGCCCCTATACTGCAAGTTAACCTATGGCAGGACTGACTGAGCTCAGATCTGAATGGTCCAGATGGCAGGGGTGGGACTGCTGAAGGCGAGTGGATGGTGAGCCAGTGATTCCCAGGAGCAGAAATCCAGGAGTGGACACTTGGGAGAAGCCAGTGTCCCGGGCTCATAGGCCGAAGCCTGAGATCATTGGCAGAGTAAGGGCCCAGCCGGAGGGACAGGGCTCTGGGAGTGGAGATCTCAAGCGAGCGTGCTGATCTGTGATTGTCTTGTGTGGCAGAGCTGGAGGACTCCCAAGATGAACAGCAGCAGGTGCTGGCTGCCCTGAGGGGAAACCTTCCGTTGCTGAAGCAGTTCCGGCCCATCCTGGAGGACACCCTGGAAGAGAAGCTGGAAAGCATGGGGATAAAGAGGGTGAGTTCCAGCGCTACTGCTTCAAGGGTCAAGAACTAGAACTGAGACATGAAGTGTTCTCAAACTGACCGACCATCGATTGTTCTTCACCTTGTGGACGGATTTGCTGGACCTGGGCTCCTCTGTTATCTGGGAAGAGAGAACCCCTTCTTCACCTCTTAGTAGCAGTGTGGTTTCCTCTCTGTCTCCTCCAATGGCTTCTTGTGTTGGCTTGCGATGCCACTCCGTGTCCTGACCCCGTAGAGTTTTCTACTCACTGGCTATTGCCTTTTGAATCTCTAAATTTTCTAATGGAGGGAATTGAATTGGCTCATTCTGACCTAGGAACAGGTCTGTCTTGGATAAATGTCCACCTCCAAGTCCATTGCCTGTGGCGCATGTGACCATGCCCACTCTGGGTGGCTGTGTGTGGAGCAGGCATGAAAGCTATGTCTGGAAGCAATTAGCACTTGATTGCCACTGTGTTTAGCCAGAGCATGCACATTATCATTTAAAGGCATCAATTATTAAATAAAAACACATCATTTCAATGAGTAAGATTAGGAATGAATAGATACCCAAATTTAATGGTTAGTAAGGATGCTCACTCAATTTTGACTGTTTTCAACTGCTGCTTAATTTAGTCTTGGTCCCATATTCAGTCTTGATTTAAATGTTTCTAACCTTGAATAAATCCTCATCTAGGATCCAGATGTCTTCTAGGAAGCCTCTCTGAAGCTCTGGGTGGATGCCAGAGCAGCTTATAATAGTTGATTTTTTTAAAATTTAGCTTTTCAAGTGTTCTTAGCCAAGGACATGATGTCTAGCACAACCACACTGCTTGGGAGTGCAAAAAGGAACATACCATGGCCAAATAGTGGAAAAATATGTCCTAAGTCTCTGTGCCAGGGTGAGAATGGACTTATGATGTAGCCTTTACATTGTGTTGCTGTGCAAGTTTTTGTGAGGCTCCAAACCCTAAGCCATCACATTTTCAACAGTGGGTGAAGTCACTGTTCACCCTACTGTGATCCTCATTTTGTTCCCTCCCTATCTACCACCCCAAACCTCTCAGTACCCGTCACAGTGACTCTCAGGTCAGCTGCAGTAGGTGAGAAAAACTTAGGAAAGGAGCCTCTGTCTACAAAGGTAAGCTTCTGTCTCCTCCAGGACGCAAAGGGAATCACTGTGCAGACTCTCAAACACCTGGATACTGTGCTGAAAGCCCAGCGGGAGCAGAAGGCCAGGAAGTTTTCTGAATTTCTGAGTCTGAGGAAAAAGCTCATAAAAGAAGCCACCAGCAGAGTGAAGGAGAGACAGAGTGGGAATATGGTATCCCTGCCCGATGGCCAGCCTCCAGGTTTGCTGGGGACAGGGCTTGCTTGGGGACTGTGACCTGGGAGGATTCCCTTTTTGCTAAGACTTGTCTGCCCAGAAGAGGGTGTAATCCCTGCCTCCCACCAGGGGCATTGCCCCGAGGGGCGAATGAGTGCCAGAGTCCTCTGTTGGGAGGAGAGAGTCCAGGGTGGGCCTGAGGGGTGCTTGTCAGGGTCACCTGGGGGAAGTTGGAGGAGAGCCAGAGCAAGAGCTTGTGGTCTGCCTAAGTTTTCCCTGCTCAGACACAGTACTTCTCTTGCAGCTTTAGACTGCCCTCCTTGGTTTGCTGCAACCACAAGCTGCACTTCCCTCCAACAGAGTGCAGCCATTCAGTATCTGGTTCTGCACACCAAGAAAGTCAGTGAGGGAGACAGACTCAAGGCCTGGGAGAATTGAGGTCACAGGGGAGAAAATATCAATGAAATGAAAACTCCCCATACCTCTGAGCAGTGACACTGCCTGAGAGGCTAAGCTGGTTCTGCCTTTAGACAAATCCTCAGAGCACAGAACTGGCCCCTGGGCCAGGTCAGAGCTGTTGCTTTGCCAATTGTTCTTGAACCTGGAGGTGAAGACAAGGGAAGGAGTTCTGTTCTGGAGGAGGATTAAAGTACAGGGACCAGGGTCCTTGAGTCTTTGTCCTCAAAGACTTTATGGATTAGGGGAGTTTTCCTTCCTAGGTTCAAGAGACTCACTTTTTAGAGGATTCCTCGGCCTACTGGGCTGCTGACTTGGAGGTTCTGTGCAAGGCTTTTGTGCTTCTGCAGGGTAGTGCCCAGTGCCCTTCACATCACCTCCCCAGGCAAGGACATGTGCTGAGAAGGAGGCCAATTCTGGATCTAATGTAGGGACAGACTCAGTGTGAGCTCATTAGGCTGAGAGACTTTGCAAAGTGTGATCTGCATATCTCTGGGGATGTGAGAGATGATTTGAGTCATGCGTGCACCAATCATTTTTACATTTAATCTTTATTTTTAAAGTGAATTAGAAAAATATTCCTAACACAGCAATCCTGTGAGCTCATGGAAATTTATTACTTGGAGAATTATAAGGCAGTTATTTTATATTTAAAAGTGCTGTCATTTTACATAAAAATGTTAAGTAGCTAACAGGACAGTTGCTATGAGACTAGTTCTGGGAACTGGTTCTGTCCTATTTAGTTTAAAGTTCTGTTGCAAAATTTCCAAGGAAAGGGGCGTTCTTACCACTACACAGATATTTGTGGCAGAGGGATATTTGTTTGTCCTGATTGCTCTCTTGCCTTTCATGCTTGGATTTAAGCTTTCAAGCTTGGATTTGCCCAGATGTCCATTTGCTAACCCATCTGCCCATGCCTTTACTCTGCAGTATTAGATGAGGTAGGCTTTGTGCTTGGGCCTCCTCCTCACCTGGGAAGCCAGCCAGGTCTACGTGAGGTGATAGAGCCAGGCACAGTGGTAAGGCAGGGGAGCTCAGGGGCGGGAGGGGACAGGGACTTGGGAGGGTGAATGGAGGTACTCTTGGAATGCTGTTTTCCAAGAGAAAGGAAAGGTGTCTTGCTTCTAGGTGTCACTCTCCCCAGTAGCCCCCACTGGTGTCATTGGAAAGCCAGGAGAGCATCCCCTCGTTTTCTGTCTCTTTCCCAGGCCTGGGCTCCAGGTCTCTGAGGTGTGAGCAGAGACCACTCTTTCCATGTTGTTGGTAGACCTCTCCTTGCAACTCCGAGCCCATCTTTTCCCAGGTCCCACGAGTGCTGTGCTAGTGCTCATCTCCTGTCCCTGCTCAGACCACGCCTCTTCTCTTGTGAACCAGCCTGTGGGCTGCAGTGAAGGCAGTGGCAAGAACCCAAGGTTTAGCGCAGACCGATGTCCAGGTTCACATCAGTCATTTTCTTCCATTAAACTGTGGGCAAGTTCCTCCGTCTCTCAAAGCCCCTGTAAAATAGGAGAGCAGTACCGTTGATAGGGGCCCTGGGGGCCACATGGTGTAGACAGTAATTGTAAGCTCTTATTTTCCTGGAGCAAGTTTGCCTTCCCCCTCTCTTCAGTTATTTCTTTCCTAGGTCTACTTCTGAGTAGATGCATTCTCTGAGAGGAGAGCATTTCAAATGTTTTTGACCTTGAGCTATTGTGGTAAAAAACACATTTTATATTGTGACTCATTCCACATATGTAAGTTTCAGCAACTTACTCTGACTCCCTGTGCTGCATTTTCTTTTCCAATCTCTTTCCATTATGCATTGATGGGCCCCTTTCCCCATAGGGTTCTGATGCAATTTGCAAAAACAGAGGGACGGTGACTGTTTGCCATCCTGGTGTGGGCACCACCTTGAACCAGCCTGCTTGTGGGGGGGAGGCTGCATGTGGCTCTGGCTGGATCATGTAGTCCTGTGGCGACCTCTGGTGGCAGCATGTTCTTCCTGCAAGGCTACCTGCACTTTGGTGGGAGAGTAGGGGGAAGGTGGCTTTAGGGCTGTGCAGTGAGTGTTCTCAGCCCTTCTGGCTTCTGCTCGTCTTCTGTAATGACAACATGGCTTTGGGTCATTTGGCTGCTCTCTTGGCCTCTGGTGTCCCAGTAGAAGGACTCCTGGGTGGTGCAACTGTCATCACAGCACACTGAGTGACTCATCCACCTTCAGTGCATTTGACCCTCTTTCTACAGTGTCTCAGGCTTGAGAGCTCAGAATGGCTCTCGGTTTTCTGAAAGTCATTCCTTTCTGTGTTTCTAGTCAAAAGTCAGCAGAGCACACTGCTCACCAGAGAGGCCCGGCCAAAGACCAGGACCCTGAATGTGGCAGTGCCATCCAAGCCGGCAGAGCCATTCACACCAGCTCCTCAGAGCTGCAGCAGTCATGGCCCTGGCCCAACCCAGGCGTCCACCCCAACACCACGCTCCAGGGTGCACGGACTCTCCAGTACCCCCGAGTCTCACAGGCTGGGGCTGAGGTGAGCCCTGGCCTCTGACCTCTTACTGGACCTGAGGCGGTGGCCCCTGCTTTGCCAGTCCTTTCCCGGGCCTCTTATGCAGGCAAGGGAGGGGCTGAGATGGATGTGAACAGGAGGTGGGTCTGGTGGAGGCCAACCTGGGTTCTCAAGAAGAGACTAGGGGTCCTTTGCTCCCAGCCAAGAGAGACCCACCCCCGTCCTCCCCAGTCCCAGCTGTCCCCTGCAAGGGCGCAGTTCAGGCCTCTTCCGAGGGGAAAGCTGGCGTGGCTGCCCCACTCTGGGAAGAGTCTGAGCCCCAGGGAGGGATCGGGGCCTGCTCTGGGCAGACCTAAGGGGTCTTCTCAGGGGTGGTCTGACGCTTTCTTTCCAGCCCACAGACTTCTCCTTTCCCCTCTGTGCAGCAGCACGCCCCCGTTCAGTTCCGAGGAGGATTCCGAGGGAACAGCCGTGCGTCGCATATCTCTTCAAACTCCTCAAGTTTCTTCCAAGACGGTGCCCCAGCAGGAGAATGACTGGGACTGGTCTGACACGGAGTCCTCAGAAGGGAATGCCTATCCCCCTGGCAGGGGCTCGGGTGGGCCGGCTTCCTCTGGTGAGTGGGACCCCCACCCCGCATTTCTCAAGGCCCGGAAACTCCCGGCTGCTTACTTTGAGCTTTCTTATTTGGTTTCTCTTTCTCTACTTGCCTCAGAGAACATGATCTTCCTTCTTCTCAGATATTTTCTGGGATAGCAGAGATAACAGGAGAAAGCTAGAATGTGATGAAGTAATTTTGTGTGTGTGTGTGTGTGTGTGTGTGTGTGTGTGTGTGTGTGTGAGTGTGTGGTACCGGGGATCAAACTTGGTCCCTTGAGCTTGCAGGCGGTGAAACCACTGAGCTCAATCCCCATCCCCAAGTGAGTTAATGTTGTCACTAGTTTCGTCATTGAGTTGTTTTACTGTTGGAGGTTGGGAGCTGTCACTCACCCCTTTACTTCCCACATCCTTACCAGTAGCAAATAAACACTGTGGTCATTCTATTAAGGGTGACAGGGCCCAGGATTATTCAGGGTATAGCTTCCTGTTGGGGCTGGATTGGCAAAACATCTAGAACTTGAGGCAAAAGTGGAGGTCCTTCCTTGCTCCCCAAATCCAGATCTGGACTGCATTTGTGTATACAGGTCTGGGTCCATAGAGCTGACCTTGAGGAGGCAGGATCTTAAACAGGCAGCTGTGGGAACATCCCTGCTGGCCCTGTGACCCTTGTCACAGGTGCAGGGAGAAGGCCAGCATGACAAAGGGCCAAGGCATGTTGCCCATCTACCTCTCTCCTTGCTGCTTTTGTGTGTGGCACAGGACAGGGTGGCGAGGGAAGAAACTGGGTGGGTATTCCAGTTTTGCTATCCTCATCGGGGAGCAGAAGTTCTTTCTTCCATTGAAAGCTCCTGGAAAGAGAGAGAAGCACTCCCCCATCTGCCTTGTCCTTGCTGGGTGCAAAACATGTGCTCAGCTCTGTGCCGACCTCTGTATAAATCCCTCCTTGACTTTCCACGGTGTAGACTGGGGAAGGCTGTGCTAGAGACTGCTTGACTGTGCTTACCACTGCTCAACTTAGGAGGTTGATTTTACGATGGCATGAAAGCAATGCACATTAAGTAGATATCATGTTTTGCTCTCTATCTGGGCTAGCAATGTGTAGTGTAATACTCTCTTGAGCAATGGGCGACAGAAACAACTGAGCTCCACAATGTACTGGGTTGTTAAGCTAGGATGTTCAGTAAGTTAGGTGTACTAAACACATTTTTGATTTATATTTTCAGTTTATAATGGGGATTGGGGGAATCTAACCCCATCATAAATCAAATAACGAGGCTGAGGCAGGAAAACTGCAGATTTGAGCCCTGCTTGAGCAACTAGCAGCTTAGTCTCAAAATTAAAAAAACAAAAAGGGGGGAGGGGTGCTGGGGATGTAGCTCAGTGTGAAAACCCTGGGTTCAATCCCTAGTGCTGCAAAAGAAAAACAAAAACAAAACAAACAAACAAAGAAACCCCCAGAAAGTGAAGGAGCATTTGTTTATATATGGTTACAGATGTTGAAATAGCCTCTGAGATGTTGTGACTAGTTTAAGATCATCTATTCTGCATCATACTTTTGAAGTTACTATTTTGGAGCCATTGCTTGCTTGCTTGCTTATTTATTTATTATAAGATAAATTTTTCCTACGAAGAACTTAGCTGTGCCCTTAGCTGTGCCCCGAAGCTGAAGCACCATCTGCTCAGTATTTTACACTGCCTGAGCTCATGAGTACCACATCAAGGTTTTGTGGTTTCACAGGTAACCATCACTGTGGCAAAAATAGCCTCCAGGACAAACCTTGGTTACAAGTTTAAGGGAGGACAGTTGACTTCAATATGCGCTTTGAGGATATCATTTCTTAGAATATTTGTAGTTTAACATTTTTTTGAAGTGCTAGGTGTTAAACCCAAGGTCTCATACCTATTAGGAAAGTGCTCTACCACTGAGCTACGTCCATAGCCTGAACATAATTTTGTAAATTATAAAAAGAATAATAAAGACCTGCTTCCTACTAGCCTTAGGGAGATGGGCTGGGGCTGGGAAGATAGCAGGAAACCTTTCTGCAGACTGCCTCACATCTCTGCCTACAGCCTTTGGGTCACACAGACTATTTGTCCTACCAAAGGGTTTTTTGCCCCTTTTCTGCAAAGCTATAGACAGGGATTCAATTTGTTGATGAAAAAGACATGATAGATACTTAAGCTAAACTTTATGATAACTAGAATGCAAATATTCCTTAAACTTTTTAGTTTTTATCTAACAGGACTTGTTGAGAAGTTTTCTTGTGAGAATGGCTATGCCTATCTCATTCTTGCAAGATTTTCTTTTAAAAAACTGCCAATGGAGGCCTATAGTTTTAGTCACATTTCCTAGCCAAACTAAGTTAAAGAATATGGAACTTAGAGCTCTGTCTTTCGAAAGCCAGCCAAAGAAGCTCTGGGATTTATGCCTAGGTTTATAATTTGCAAGTCCCTCCTCTTACTTGACCTGATAGTACTTTGTCCTGTATTCGGCATAATCCAAGCCTGTTAGCCCATCAGAATTCCCCAGAACCAGATCTCTTGGATTACTTTGGATCCCTTACCAGACAGGGCAGTAAGCTGGCGAGATCCTGGAACTGACAGGAATCTTCAGAGATGGTTCAGTCTGTGTCACTGATCACCTGTTTGTCTTTGTGCCCAGGTCTTGGTTCCTTTGTTGTGAAATGAGGTATTTGCATAAATGATTAATAAAGAGGTTGACAAACACAGTGCTTGCTATATAGTAGGACCCTAACAAGCATTTCTTGAATGAATCAGTGAGCCAAGAGCTGTTTTAGCCGTAGAAGTCTGCTCAGGTCCCGGGCACTTGTGTCCCAGGAGGCTGTACTTGTATGCAATTAGTTCCCCATTTTTAGCCATTCCTGAGGTCCAGCCATTGTCTTGCTTCACCATGCACCAGAGGTCCGTAGGTCATCTGTGTCACTGCCTAGCTCCTGCTTCCTGTACAGAGCTCGCAGAAAGCCATTCTCCTCTGAGCAAATTGATATTTGATCTTTCTTCTTGGCTGGGTGAAGGTGTTGAAGAAGGACCTGTCTGCACGTTAGTCATGCAGTTCATGAACCAAAATGAGCGGAGGGCCTATTTCTGCCTCTCCTTAGTGGGAGACGTATTTTAAGCTTCCATCAACCCATGTCATTATGTTTGCATAATCTCATTTTTGTAATAACCTAAGGTCCTGTTAGCCTGGCCTTCTCTGCCTCCATAGCCCTCCTCTTTGAGCTTTCTCTGGCTTCCTTTTCTCCATTTCCTTCTTCCACACTGGAGCCTGGATAAGACCCACCAGGATGAAGCATTCATTCTCCAGGCTTTTTTGAAAGACAAGCTGCTTGTTCTCCCTTCCAGGGACACTGGTGCAGTTGATGGTGAAAAATCTCGAGAAGCAGCTTGAGGCTCCAGCAAAGAAGCCTGCTGGAGGAGTCAGTGTGTTCTTAAGGCCCAACACCGGGCCGCCGAGGGCTGCCATGCCAGGAAGGAAGCCTCAGGTAGGGTGTAGGCATCTTGAGGATGATACTACCATTCCCAGTAGAGTCAACCCCAAGTCTGAGGGGCCCAGGGTGAGGGTTGGGGCTGCATTCAGGAAGTGTCATCTTGGACCTTAGTGGGACATTGCCGGTGTCATTGTCCAGCTCTGCCCCTACACATGTAGAGAGATCACCATTTTGGGTCACTGTAGCAGCAACTGATCAGCAAGTGTAGTTCTCAGCTTTGTGCTCCTTCTCTTCCACTGTCAGCCCCTCCCAGTCTTCAATGCACTTTGTGGAGGATCCCAGCCTGTATTAGTCAGTGCTTACTAGAGTCAGATGTGCAAAAGTGCAGGAGTTCTGGCCACATGCTGGAGATATGAGGAATCTTGCCTAGGGCCAGGATACATGGCATTGTACCTTACAAATATGGCCAAAGGCCTAGAGCCCCTAGCAATGTCCTGTGCAAGTCCGCATCAGAAGGCTGGGAACCCACAATGGAAGACTGAAGAATCTGTGCAGGAAAGTCCTAGGGCCTGCGCTGGTAGGCTGAAAGGCTGATGCTGGAAGCTGAAAACTCAGCTCTGAGAACCAGGAAATGAAGCTCAAGGAGAAGGCCAAGAGCAGGGCTCCCAGCTGAAGTGTTTTTGCCAGAGGCCAGAAGATGATGCTTAAGGTGAGGGTGAAGATGGAATAACAGTTATTCTTGGCGAAGGTGGAGCTCAGCAGAAGAGAACAGCCAAAGCTTCTCCATGGGAAATCATCATAAAACCCTCCCCTCCTTTTCTCCTTTTATACCATTCCCCAGAACTAGGATAACTCAGTTCAAGTGGGCGTTTCCCACTCAAGCTGACCATTTAATCATCACATAGCTTAAGGCCATGTGTTGAGCAGAGTCCCCTGCTGGGAGGCTTGGCAGGGCACCACACAGCACTTCAGAGAACAGTGTAAACTAGGATTATTTAGATGCTTTTGTTCTGAATATTCAAAGCCATGCTTTGTCACTGAGTGCCTCTCTCAGGCCGTAGCTGTGGTCAGATTCTCAGACTTTGAGTTCAAATGTGGTACTTTCCCAACATTACTAGACTCTGCTCACGGCCCTCCCTTCGCCCATCAGGGGAAACTTCCACTCTCCCGTTATTTTCTTAGAAAGATTTAGAGCTCTCCTCACCTCACATTTCTTTCTCCCCTTTTCAATCAGAAGTTGCGTCTTGAGATGATCCATGGTATCGCCCTCCTATTCTGAAGTAGCAGCCAATCATTCTTTGATTTGTTTTTTGTTTTTTTTTGCTGTGAACTTGGAGCCTTCTGCATGCTAGCCAAGTGCTTTACCACTGAGCTCCTCATTTTTTGTTTTCAAAAGATTGTCCTCTAATCCCTCACCTTTTTACTATACAGTGTAGTTGGTTTATACTGGGTTTATGTGAAAGAACCACAGCCTGTCCCCTTTCCCTATGGTGCAAGAATACCCAGTGCCATACGGAGGCACTGCCCTGAGCTCTGCTGCTGCCCTAGGCCTGGTGGTTTCTAATTGGTTGGCCTTATATGCCAGGAGGAGGTGCATAAAATGTCTTATGTAAAAGCCCACACGACTGGCAGGGGCACTGAAACCTCTGGGGGGAAATGCCCGGCCTAGGCTGTTACTGTGGTCTTCGAGTAGCCTAGTCTCTTGCCAGGCTCTGAGTTCTGCCATTGGCTGCAGCCCAGACCCCTCCCAGGCTGAAGGTTCCCCCTGTTCACTGAAGGGTCCAGATACTCCGAACCTTCCCTCGTGCTCCTTCAGTCAGTGTTTACCAGGTCTCCCCGACTTAGTCTGACAGTAAGTGGCTACTTTCGCCCATGATGCATCTAGCTCAAGAACTTGCAAAGGTTAAGGCTATGGGGTTCTAGCCTTATCAATGTGGGGAGTTAAAAATCTACACAGTTTAGAGCTGGGGATTTAGCTCAGTGGTTCTGCTGCCTGCCGTGCAAGGGCAAGGACCCAAGTTGGATCCCCGGAAATCTACACAGTTTAAATGAAAACAAGAGCACTGAATTCCATGGGTATTTGAAATCACTCTGGCCCCAGGTCCCGGAGCAGATTCTCAAAGGCAGGGAGACTTGAGAAGGCAAGAGGAGTAGCAGCTCCCTATTGCTTTCTTCCAAATCTATATTTGTCCCCACTTCCATCCTGCAAGGTTGGTGCTTAGCTCTCTGCTCTTCTGTATTTATCAAAATTCATTTTATTCTCCCCTGTGTTTCTGCAGCTTTCTGAAGATGAGAGCGACTTGGAGATCTCTTCCTTGGAAGATCTCTCTCAGAACCTGGACCAGAGAGAGAAACCAAAGCCCTTGTTTCACTCAAAGCTCCCAGAGAAGACTGATGCTGGTGCTTGGAATTCCAGCCGTCCCCGGGTCCCTGGCTGGTGACTCTGTCCAGGCCTTGCTTGCCAAAGGGCCAGGCTTGTTACCTGGCTGGGGCCAGCTTGGGGCACACCCCATCAGGAGAGACTGCTGGGCCTCTTGGTTTCACCATCAACACTTGGAGAAAAGCTGAGTAGGGGTCAAATATGATCTCTCCCTTCCCTGCCTTCATCAGAGGGTGAGGGGTACCTAAGTTCCCAAGGCTTGAGAAATAGTTCTAACAGGAAACATGTAGTTTCCATCCTCTATTTCCATGCCCACTCCAAGCTGAAAAGAGTCACTCAGCCACTCTTCCCGAGCCTATTATAAATCTATAGGGTCACTATAAGGGGTTCTAATGCCTGTCAGTAATTGATCCAAAGTCAATTATTGAGTACATACTCTGTGCTGGCTTCTCCAGTCTCTCATTACTGATTTGGGTTATAGGCGGAGATGGGTAGGGTAGAGTGTTTACATCCAGGGCCAGTAGGTACTAACTAGTGATAGAGATTGGAGTGTTTCGGGAGCATAGGAGAGGCCCAAGTGATCTTGGAGATCTTCCCAGAGTTGTGATGTCTGTAGGGCTTGTTCACAGATGATAGGAAGAAAAGAGAATCACTTGGCTGAGGCTTTATGTCTCCAGAGGACCACAGATATAATTTTTAATATTATTTCCCAAATCAAGTCATGTACATAACCATTGTATATTTTTAGTGAAAAAGTTAATTTATTATGTGCAAGCATTTAAATATAGTATGGTGCACATAACTGTCTGTGATTTTTTAAAGCTCTGCAGGGGCTGAGGGTGGTGAAGAGGGGAGGAAGCAACCTGCACTTTCATTGTGTTGGTTTAGGTCCTTTGGAATGCCATTACCAAGGTGGAGTCAGGAGGTTAAGAGTTTTACTGAGGAGCCACATCTTGGAAAGTGGAAGGTGCCAGAAGTGAGATCAGGCAGAGAAAGGCTGTAGAGTACAATGCAGAATGGAAAGAGAGGAAGAGGAGAAAGGAGGCAGAAGAGTACCAGGCTGCACTGTAGGATCAACAGGGTCGCTATCAGCCCAACGGGGAGCCCCACAGCAACAGGTGCTTAGGAGAGCCCATTGGGTAGGACTCCCAGGCCCTGCTGCTCAGTTCTTGGCTATGGGTTGGGAAAGCCGAGGGAACCCATTCAGCGAACTTCATCCTTCAGTGTTGAACAGCTATTTTTTCCTAAAGGAAGGCCCAGTCATGTACCTTCATGTCTCCTACAGAAAGATGTGTTTTACATTTTTTTATTTATGGGAAACGTCAAACATATGTTTGAGTAGAGGGGATAGCATGGCAAGCCCATGTCTTCATCACGGCCTCAGCCATTATCAAGTCATGGCCAGTCTTGTTTCACTCATCTCCAGCCCTTACCCTGTCCGGGGTTCTTTCGACCTCTGAGTGTTGACACATGGGATAGGCCTCAAAGTTCTCGTAGGAGGAACCAGAGGAGGGGTGATGAGGGAAAGATTGCTGACAGCAGAAGGTGTCTGGAGATGGGAAGAGGTAGGGTTGGGGAATGGTGTATGAAGGAAGCTGTTCAGTGAGGCTGGAGTATGGCTTATGAGGTAGGATTCTTATGTGGGCATTGTAGCCAGCTCAATCCTGGGTGATTGGTTGGTAATTCCCTTTGTGCCTCTCATATTGAACAGATGAGAATGTTTATGATGGACAGTCCCAATGACTGTGAGGAGGAAGATGGAACCGTGAGTGGGGAGTGGTGATAGGGTTCATTCTTCCTCAGGATTCTACCAGCAAAGTCACATTTTCCTATTTATTGGGTTTGGGTAAGATACGCTTATGCTGCCTGGCCTGGTCTTCCCATCTCATCCTGAGGCCTCCCAGCTCTAAGTATGCTTCCACAGCCAGCCTCCCATGTCACACAACTGCCCCAGAGTCTCTGTTTTGGCCTCAGAGTTATCTCTGACCTGTAGACAGTGGCGTGGTCTACTTGCAGGTTCAGCCTGATCATGTGGGAGAGCTGATGCTCCAGGACAGCTCATGACCACAGTGGAATGGATGTTGATGAATAATTGCTCCAGGCTTTCCCTGCATCTATGGGACACCTATGCAGGCTGAGAAGTCCTGTGATAGGTTCACCTGAAAGCCTATGATCCAGGGAAGACAACAGAGTGGCCAGTTCTGAAAGCATGAAAACCAGGGGGAGCCTGTGGTACAACTGTCAGCGGAAGGCAGAGCTCTGAGAGCCAAAAGCCAAAAAACATGGAGTTCTGACATCCAAGGACAAGAAGAAATATATCAGTGGGGTTGGCGGGGGGAAAAAGAGACAGAGTCAGAGAGAGTCTAGATCCTTTATCTATTTTTTTGTTCTACCTGAGTCATCAACCATTAGATGATGCCAACACTGGGTGAGGATGGATCTTCCTTACTCAGTTTACTGATTCAAGTACCAATTTCTGCTGGAAGCACTCACAGACATACCTAGAAATATTGCTTTGCCAGCTATCTGGGTATGTCTCAATCCCTTAAAATTGGTAGCTAAGATTAAATATTGCAGCAATATTTGTAAGAACAGAGGAACATATGTAACAGATTATTTTAAAATTATACAATCAGATTTATGTAGAAAAATTAGAAACTACAGATAATGAAAAAGAAAATAAATTGGAATAATCCACAAATCAGGATTAACTACTGTTATCAGCTAGTTGTATATGCACCAATAAAAAAAAAATCCTCCTTTCTATGTCTCTAACTTGATTTTCCTTCTGGAAAAGAGATTATAAATGTCCTTAGATTAATACATGCACATCAGCATAATTACATTTAACAGTCACGTAGATAAAGATTACAAAAATTTATTTAACTAGTCATTTCCACTTGTTGCCTTTTATAAATCATGAAGTGATTTAAAAATGTGTGTGTGTATTGTTTGTTTTGTTTTTGGTGCTGGGGATCGAACCTGGGACCTTGCCCTTTCAAGGCAGGTGGCAGAACCACTGAGCTAAATCCCCTGCCCTATGTATATATCTTTGTGAACTTAATTAAAATTTCCTTATAATAAAGTGACATTGCTGGACCAATATAATGAAAGAAAGACATCACTCCAGGATGTGGTCTGAGTTCCCCAGGAAATTAACTGATTTAACCTCTCGGTAACCTTTTGAGCTAGGTCCTCTATTACATGCATTTTATAGACTAGGAATTGAGACACTCTGTCTTGAGCTTGCTTTGAATCCTGTCACAAGCGGTGCAATGGGCTGTGACAGTCACTTGGCAGCCTGGCCCCCAGCCCCATGTACTTTAGTTACCTACTGCCAAATGTTCTCCAGAAGACTTGAGCCAGTTTAGTGCTTGCAAGTGCATGAGAGAGCTCATTTTTATATTTTCTTGCTACCATGGGTATCATTCATCTTTCAGTGTTTGGTGATATGATACCTGAAAATATGAAAACTTTAAAAATTTGCACATTTTGGATTTCTTCTAAAGTGGAATTCTTTTTTCATTTTGATTATTTCTATTTCTTCTTTATGAGTTGCCTAATTATATTCTTAGCCCCTACTTTTCCCCTTGTTAGTTGATTAACTTTTTTCTTTGTTGCTGTAGAAAATGTCAAGTATATGTAAAAATAGAGAGTTTTTTTAAATAATGATCTCTATGTCCCTACTGCTCAACTGTAATAATCTTGTTTCTTGTATTCTTCTCCCAACTTCCAGATAATCATCATTACATCTATGTCTCTATAAAAGATATTACCCTTTCAAAAATAACCATTGTACCACATCACACCCAAAAGAAGCCAGTAAGGTTTTCTAAATATTATCAGGTATTTCTAATTCTAATATATAATTTCTCTATTTTTCTATACATTTGTCTCTTAGAATCTAGAGTCCATTTCTATTTCTCTCTTTCCTTCCCTCTTATTTTTCCTACATTTTTGTTGTTGGGGAAGAAATAAGATTGTTTGTCTCTCCCACATCTGGAGTTTGCTGGTGGATTCCTATGCTGGTGTTTAATGTATGTATTCTTCTTTCCTCTGAACTATCTGTAAATTTGTTGTTAGATCTAAATATTTGATCAGATTCAGCTTTCTTTAACAAGACTACAAGGGGTGGTGGGGATTTCTATCAGGAGTAGACATCTGGCTGGACATCTCTTCTAAGGATTTTGAGGATGGTGTTGATGACAGACAATGCTGAACATTGCTAAATATGTCTACTTATTAGAAATTTCAAAAATTATATTCTTAATCTGTCATTCCCTTGATCTTTACAAGCTGAAAATCTACAGTTCATAAAGGTAAGGCAGTTAAGGGCTTGATTCTTTTTTCTTTTCTCTCAAAATAACAAGTTGGTTTCCTAATATCCTCAGTATGACCTCATATATTTAAATGTATTTGTTTGTTTAAATCCCTTATAGTTAGGACAGATTGTCCAGTATTGACCAGTAGGCATCTTTTCCAAATGCTTCCTGGATTAGTATGGAATTTCTTCCCAACTCATCTCTACATTTCTTGCCTTAAACCTGAAATTAGTAATTTATTGAGGGGATCCTGGTTCCTTTTAGAACAAAATTATATTTATAGGTACATCTAGGTGTACAGGATATTCACTGATATTGAGCTTATTGTTTCTAAGCCCTTCTAGTACAAAGATATAGGAAATACCATTAAAAATACATTACGCATCTCTATGCATTCATATTTTGCATTCAAAATCATGAATCTAGAATTATTTTACCTCATTGATCTAATATCTTTATTTTTTATTATGTCTTTTCTTCCATGCCAAAAATCCTGGCTCTTTATATCAAAATAACAGAAAGGGTCAGGGATTTAGTTTAGTGGCTCTGCGTTTGCCTTGCAAGCACAAGGTCCTGAGTTCAATCCCTGGTATCGGGGTGGGGGGGTTGGGGGGTGGGGAACCAAAACAATGTTAGAATAACAATACCAACTCTACTGCCCATAGTATAACACACTTTCAAATTTATTATTTTTGGGGCTTTTTCTTATCCTTATGGTCTATCCCACAAAGCATGACCAGTTAAATTGTTATATTTTAATGTCACTTAAAATAGTCCCTATCATTAGGCTACTGAAGGCTTTATTTTACTTTTTAAGATTACATTGTTATTAGTTATGTCTTATTGCTTTTTTTAGTACCGGGGATTGAACTCGGGACATTGTGCTTGTGAGACAGGCAACAGAACCACTGAGCTAAATCCCCAGCCCTCTTATTGCTTTATATAAATATTAATCATTTGCCACATGTGTTGCCTTTTCTCTCTTTTGGTTGGTCAGTTGTCTTTAATTTCATTCATGGCATTCTTTGCTACAGAGAGACCTTACCTTTTAGGGGTCTAGTAAACCTATGTTTTACTTTATAATGTGTGCTCTTGGTGTCTTATTAGAAAGGTATTCTCAATTTCAAGAAATACAGATTAAAATTTGCATATTTAATATATTCAGATTTTTGGAGGGAAGATGTTAGCTGCAAGGTAGTGATCAATTTTATATTTATAGTCAGTAGTCATTTCAACAACATATGTCCATCTATCTTTTTTCATTTAAAAAAATGTTTCTTTGTCAATTATAGCACATACTATATTTCTGGAATTTCTGTTTTTTCATTAAGATGATTAAGTTGGCACTAGCATTGTACTGTTTTTATTTTAGGTTTCTCATTTTTATTATATTAGAATATATATAATATTGAAATAATCATTTTAACCATCTTAAGTATATGGTTCTGTGATACTGAGTATACTCACATTGTTTAATCAGCACTATCCATATCTGGAATTTTAAAAATCATTCTAAACTGAAACTCTGTACTTATTAAGCAGTGACACCTCACACCCTACACTCCTCAGCCCAGGAAACTACCCTTCTATTTTCTATGCCTGTGAGTATGACTACTTAAAGAACTATGTGTAAATGAAATTGTGCCATATTTGTCCTCCCATGACTAGCTTGTTTCACTTAGATGATGTTCTCAAGGTCCATTTACATTGGACCATAGGAAAAAATTTCCCTTTTTAGGATTATGTCTATATCTATATATATCTATCTATGTATCACATTTTTTATCCATTCACTGGTAATGAAACAAAGGAATGATAAAAATTGAGGTAATGGAAATGCTAATTACTCTCATTTCATTATTACCTTTTATATCCATGTATTGAAATATCACCCTGCATTTCATAAATATGTATAATTATTATGTCAATTAAAATAGAAAAATAATACACTAAAAATTAAAAATAGAATTCCAGCAAGATAACTAGTAATTCCATTTCTGGTGATGTAGTCAAAGAATTGAAAGGAGGGATTCAAACAGATATTTGTACACCCATGTTCACAGCGCCATTAGTCACAATAGCCAAAGGAGGGAAACAATCCAAATATGCATTATTTTTAAAAAATGTAATTTTAAGCTGGGCATGGTGGCAAACACCTGTAATACCAACATTTGGGAGGCTGAGGCAGGAGGATTGCCAAGAGTTCAAGGCCAGCCTGGGCTACATAGTGTGACTCTCTCAAAAAATGAAACAAAAACAAAATACAATTTTATTTCTAATTGTAGTAAACCCTCACACAAAACTTACAAATGTTTCCAAGTGTACTGTTCAGTAGTGTTAAGTATATTAACATTGTTGTGCAACCAGTCTCAATAATCTCCAGAACATTTTCATTTTCTTCAGCTGAAACTATCTGTACCCATTAAACAACCCCTCACTCCTTCCCACTTATCCTATGGTAACTATCCTTGTACTTTCTGTCTCTATGAATGTGAATATGTTTGGTACATCATGGAAGTGGAATTATAAAGTATTTTTCCTTTGTGATTGGCTCATTTAGCATTATGTCCTTAAGTTTCACTCACGTTGTAGCGTAATTTTCTTCCTTGATAAGGCTATATATATATAGAGAGAGAGAGAGAGAGACATACCGCATTTTCTTCATTCATTCATTCATCTGTCACAGATGTTGTGAAATGCTGTTATAAACATGGGTGTGAATATCTCCTTGAGATTCTGCTGTCAATATATATTCAGAATTGGAATTGCTGGATAATATGGCAATATATATATATTGGGAGGGGGCCGGGGATTTAGCTCAGTGGTTCCACTGCCTGCCTTGAAAGCACAAGGTTCAGATTATATATACACACACACATATGTATATTGGGAGGGACTGTTGTAGTGTTTTCTGTAGTTCCTATGCCATTTTACATTCTCACCATCAGTGCACAGGGTTCCTGTTTCTCCGTGTCTGTGTTGACACTGGCCTGATAGCTGATGACTGGGGTCCACTGAGCTCTCAGATCAGTTGGGCACAATGACCTTAAGGAGGGAGTGCTCTGTGCTCCCTGACCAGTGGTGATAGGTTGGCTTGATCACCACTACCACTTCAGTTGTACCTTATGCAAAGACCAGTGGACAGGTGCCATCCACATGGTGGCACTGTGGGCCGCAAAGTTACACAAGCACTTTCTGGTGACATATGGACTTCAAAGCAAGAGATGAGTTCTGTTTTTCCACCCTACACCACAATCTGTGGTCGAGCAGGATGCATAAATCATCTTATTCAGTCAGATAATTCTCTTGTGATAAAAAACAAAACAAAACAAAAAATCTCCCCAAACCTTTAAAACTAGGGGAGAAAGCAGGTCAGACTGTGGCCAGCTTTGCTGTCCTACTCACTCACACGTT